ATGGCACCTAACAACAACAAGAGTGCTAGTGTGGAGCTGTGGGATAAAGCAAAGTTGGTTTGAACCACAAGGTCAGTGTTCAAACTTACCAACCGCTCCTTGGAAACCTAATACAGGGTTGGAGCCAATTCAATGGCACTTAAAAATAACAACATGTAGCCCTCTCCGGTCTCTTTCTCATCCTCATACCAAGTTTCAGTAGGGTTCTCCTGATTGTTGTCAGCTGCCGTTGAGATGGCCCCAACTCATGGCAACCTCAGGTATGACAGAATAAACCACTGCATGGCTGTGTGCCATCTCCCTGATCTCTGGTATGTTTGAGCTCACTGTTGGGGCTCCTGTGTCCTCCCATTTCATTGAGGGTTTCCTTAATGAACCAAATAAAAAACTAAGGGCAAAGTCCTTTTCTAGGGTTTGGGGGTTCTCCTTAAACCTTAAAGAGTGATTTATGTGACTTTTTGGAGTTCTCTCTCACGGTAGAGTACCCTGGTGTGGCAATGTAGGGTAAGCACTGGACTGCTTACTGCAAGGTCAGTAGTTCAAACCCACCAGCCATTCCTTGGAAACCCTATGCAGGGTTGCTGTAATTTGGAACTGACTTTACAGTACTTACCAACACCACCACTAGAAGAAAGATAGCAATGGAAATCAACTCATGTTCACTACTTATTTTCCTCAGATGGTTTCTATAACCATTCTGATCAGACTTTACTTTTTGGAAAACCCAAAGGTTAGTAAATATTTCTACTTTAAAAAATGATCATTCTTTATCCTCTTAAGGGTCCTTATTTAATTTAGCCTGGATTAGTGTATTCAATCTTAGTTTTTATTTTATTTCATTAATTATGCACCTAAACTCTGAAACTGAACAAGAGAGACAACAGCAGGGAGACAGAAACTGATCAAAGGAAAAAAACATTCAGAAGTAAAAGTGCTGAGGATAAAGATGGGAGGAGGCATGCTGCCCCCCTCCACAGGAAACTGAAAGACAGGAAAGAGAATGTACCTGGACAGAGAGTAAGAGGCAGAGGAAATCAGTGTGCCTTTTTTCTGTGATTTAGGAGCCCAGGCACACCTGAATAAACAATTCAGTACTTTCAAAAAATGTAACGTTTTGATTTTTGTTACAATGAACACTAATGTGATTGAGAACATATGCCTGGCACTTAGTTTCTGCAGTGATCAATCTGTTGTCATGTATTTTCATCTTATTTATCACAGACCCCTTTTGGGACATAGAAGACAAAAGTACTAAAAACGCCATTCATGACTTAGGCTATTTCCTTTCCTTTCCTAGCACTTCCTCTTTTTCTCAATGGCTTAATAAGCTTCACATAATAAGTAGATGTGGAGCTGTAGGATAAGCACTCGATCACAAAGTCAGTTTGAACCACAAGGTTGGCGGTTCAAGCTCACCAGCCACTCCTTGGAAACCCTACAGGTTTGCTATTGAGTCGGAAACGATGAGAAGGCACTTAACAACAATAACAACATATAAGCATATGATAAAGTCTGAAATTGACCACAAAGCTCAACATCATGGGGACAAGGACCACCAAGAGTACTAATGAAAGAGGCATTATTTTTTGTCACCGTGAAAAAAGCAGTATTAAACATCCTTCACAAGCAAAGCTGCTGGTGCCATTCTGGGTTGGTAATATGTGGTCTAAATATGCCCACTCTCCTCTCTAGCATGAATCCTTCTCTCACTAAGTTTGCATGCATCTTCAGGATATTGACCATGGTTGGCACATGGAATAGTAAGTTTTGGTGTCAACCTGATTGAGCCAGGATTCACAGTGGTTTAGTAGTTAAGATGTAGTAATATAAAGACAGGATTTAACACAATGTAATCACGTTCTGCTGTGCATGGGGTCGCTATGAGTCGGTTCCGACTCGATGGCACCTGACAACAACAACAATCACCTCCATGTTGCAATCTGTTATAAGCAGTCAGTCAATGGAAAGAAAATGTCTACAGGGGTGTTGTCCTGTTTCCAATATATTGGTAACCCAAGCAATACTTGCTCACTGTTTTCTGGGTCTGGATCCTGCATCTGGCTCATCTGAGTTCTGGTTCTTTGCACCTGAGCCATGTTGCCTGCTGATCCTGAGAGTCATTAGCAGCCTACCATTTTACCTGCTGACCATGGATTCCTTTGCCTCTGCAGTTAGAAGCCTGCTGTCCAACCTGCCAGTCTTATATACAAGCTTCTTCGGTCTTGCTTCTCTAGAGAACCCAACCTAAGAGGCCACGTTAAACGAAACTTCTCAATCATGCCTGCGATTGATAAACTGCTGGGGAAGAGGTCATTGCCCTGGTCTCCCCATCTCTAAAACAGTAAAATGAGACTCAGTTTGCATGATGTCACAGAACCACTACTCTCCTGCTGCCACCTCCTGAGTACTAGCAGGGTACTCCAATCAACTTACAGTTTCAAGGCTCTTCTGGAACTCCAAAAGTTTGGTTTTGGCTTCCTTATAATTCTTGAAGAACATACACAGTTCATACATCTCCATCATCAACAATAATGGGGAGTCCTTTGAGGAAGGAAGGGTTTGAATGAAATCATATAGTCCTGAACTTAAACAATCTTTTCAATTAATAATGCCAACATAACAGAAAGATAAAATAAAATAAATGGTAATAATAAGAGCTTCATATTAGTACTAAATCATGTATGTTGAAAATAAGTCAAATTTATATTTCCTTTTGGGGAAAGAGATAACTCAGATTGGGTCCATCAGATTATCAATCAGGTTGTCTGCTCTGTACTTGATTTGCCACACAGGAGCAGGAGATACCCCACTAGGGGGTGCTATGGTACTACAATAGCTAATGTGGTCTCTTGGCTTAGCCATTCCATCACAGAATAAGAGTCTGGCCAGATGGAGCAATATAGTATAGTGCAATATGTAAGAATAGGAACTTTGGAATTAGTGTCGCTTTGAGCTATCACTTACGAAACCATTTACTAAAGTACTCTGAGACCTTGGACATCCTTCTTAAGTTCTTTGAGTCTTGGTTTCATTGACTCTAAAATGTGGACATTACTTCATAATATCTTCATACAGGCACACAGCAGAGACATGAAGGGTTCAGTTCCAGACCACCACAAGAAAGCACATATCACAATAAATGGAGTCACACAAATTTTTTGATTTCCCAGCGCACATATATGTTTATACTATATTAGCTTGTTGAGTGTGCAACAGCATTATGAAAAAGTTTGAAATAATGTAAGAATTACCACAAAACGTGACACAGACACAAAGTGAGCACATTAGACAAAATGGTGCCGATAGACTTGCTCAACACAAGGTTGCCACAAACATTTGATTTATAATAAAATCAAGATCTGTTAAGCACAATAAAATGAAGTGTGCCTATGTAATACCATGGTATATAATTTCATGGCATGATTATGAGAATTGATAAAATAATGTCTATAAAGCACTTTGCTAAATAAAGAATAGTTCATTATCAATAACATCAGCTGTTGTTATTAGCTAAAAATATCCCAGGGGTGAGATTAAGAAAAGGCTACCTGAGGCTACCTAGAAGTATCCATGTAAGCCCTAGAAAGGGATGAAGTGACGGCCACTACCTTAAAGAAAAGCTGGAAACCTCGGACCAGAGTTTTGCTCTTCTGCCTTGTTAAGAGTGTTCTCCAGATGGCTGAGAGGTCCTCAAGGTCCCAGGTATGGCCCTCTAAGGAGCCCTGAATGTGTCCCATTGCTTCAACAGCAACACTGTCCTCCACAGACGTGACGATCCAAACACAAAGGCAAGAAATAGCACTGGCATCCTGTCATTGAATAAGAAATTAAAAAAATAAAACAACTGGACCTAGATTACCTAACAGAAGATGCTTCTAGCAATGCTATAATTATGGATAATTATTTCCTCTTAGAACAAGTCATCTCATTAAATAAAAATGAACTAAAAAGACTTCAAAACATAAATTCTTAACGTGCAACGAAGTGATTGCTGGAAAATGTCCTGCAAAGTGTTGCAGGTCAGAAGGCCACAGAAATGATGTGGAGGTGGGGTGGGGAGGGTGTATGAGGTTGAAGTGTAAGAAAGCAGGATTGCCCTCCACCAATAGACTAATTTAGGGCCTATCTGAACACCACTCTTTCCTGATAAAGAAGGAGATAAAGAAGCAGTGGTGGTCAGTCCACCAAAGCATCTTTTTCCATAGCTACCAAACACCGAGACACTGACCACTTGAGTCACTGAACATCGTGGTACAAAGAAATGCTAGAAATGCTGGAGAAGCACAAAGGTGTGACGTGACCTTGGAGACACTCGGTGAAACCTTACCCATCACTGCCCCACTTCCACCCTGGTTCTAGGCTTCTCCACCCCTCAGCACTTTTCTATTGCTTCCTGGCTTTTCATGATCCTTGCCTGGAGACAGGAGGCCAGGACACTCAGGATAGGGGCCTGTTGTTTCAGTGCTTCAGCCAAGAGACAGCGCCAGGAATTTGGCTCCTCTGAGCACTGGAGGAAAATGCCAAAGAAATCAGTCATGTGTTCTTTGTTTTTCTGGAGCTCCTGGGTAGATTTGCTGCAGACCTGATCATTATCCATTCTGGAGTTGGACAATGAGGGCAAGTTCTCAAAAGCCAGGCTTAAGTGGTCTTCAAGGACTGGGCTGAAATACTGCAGAAGTGGTTTCACCTAAAAAACATATTATTGATTAAAAACAGACATCTGGCTTTCTGTTCCTGTTGGAGCTGAAAATGTAGAGAAACGCACAGACAAAATTCTTTTTCACCCAAAACTGTGTCAGAGGTGACCATGTAATCTTACAAAGTTGTTTGCTGCTTTTGAGTGAGCTTCCATGTTGAACTTGTTGTTGTTAAGTGCTGTTGAGTTGGTCCCTACTCATAACAACCCTGTAGGGTTTCTGAGGCTTTAAATCTTCATAGGAGCAGAGGGCCTCATCTCTATGCTGCACAGCGGTTGGCAGGCTTGAACCATGGTTGTGTGGTTCACAGTCTAGTGCTTATCATATGGAGCCACAAAAACTCCTCAGTGTTAATGATTAGCCAACCAGCTGAAATTGTAGTACTACATTAAAAAGAATATAATAAATGTCTGAGAAATATTTCAATGAACTTTCCTTGAAAAACTTCCGAGTCAGTTGCTTACCTCCTCTGGATGGTAGTTATGAAGCTGGCTGTGAATAATGAACTGCAACCAATCATTTGCTTTGGCACATTCTGCAAGGTAAGATGTGCTCAGTTTCACATTGTGGAGCCTGCAGAACTGTACCACTAATGCCCATTGGCTGCTACACTCACTGGATAACCTGTCATTAGGATAGAGAGGAGGGTGACAGGGAGAAAAACTTACTAAAACATAGTTTTAGTTTGAAACCAATAAATTAGTAGACATTAAATTTAAACACATGATAGCCTGTGAAAAGCCTTTCAACACCTATCAAACATTAGACTGCTTTTTAAAAGTCTAGACTATTATACCCATAAAGCACAATGGCTTTCTTAGTATATTAGCACAGCAATTTCCTGCACCAAATCATCAACCAAGTATCTATTCACAAAAGCATACTTTAAAAAAGTATTTTATAAAACACTGTGGGTCAGGAATCAAACACCAGGACTGGCCTCATTGTCATAACACAGGCAAAGAGAGTCCCAAACATGCTACCCAGCAGTTGTCGGGAAGAGAAAGCTCGCTACCACCGCTAATGTGTTTCCACAGAGATGGCAATTCCAATCTAAGGTGTATGACTGATGAACTACAGAAGTAACATGGATAGGGAAATCAATTGAAAAAAACACAGAAAGTTACGAAAAAGATGGGAAAACGATGTATAATGCTACTATTTGTATCTTTACAAAATATCTCCTACATCTTTAATGTGTGTGTGTATATGTTTACAGGAGTCCTGGTGTGGTGCTGTAGGATAAGCACTGGATTGCTAAATGTAGAATCAGTGGTTTAAACCCACCAATAACTCCCTGGAAACCCTAAATTGTTGTTAGTTGCCATTGAGTTGATACCAACTCATAGCAACCCTATGCACACAGAACAAAAACACTGCCCAGTCCTGGGCCAACCTCACAATTGTTGCCATGTCTGAGCCCACTGATGCTGCCACTTTGCCAATCCACCTTGCTTGGGGTCTCTTTTTATCTGACCTTCCACCTTGTTGTTGTTGTTGTGAAGTGCCGTTGAGTTGATTCCAACCCAAAGCAACCCTGTATAAGGTTTCCGAGGAGCAACTGGTGAGCTTGAAATGTCGACCTTGCAGTTCAAACAGCTTTGTAGTCTGGCGCATCAACCCACAGCGCCACACCAGGACTAACCCTCCACCTTACCAAACATGATATCCTTCTCCGACTGCTCCCTCCTGACAATATGTCTGAAGTATGAGAGACAAAGTTTGGCCATCCTGGGCTCCAAGGAGCACTCTGGCTGCACTTCTTCCAACACAGATCTGTTTGTTCTTTTGGCAGCTCATGGTACTTTCAATATTCTCCTCCAACACCATAACTCAAATGCATCAATTCTTCTACAGTCTTCCTTATTATTCACTGTCTAGCTTTCGTATGCATATGAGGTTATTGAAAATACCATGGCTTGGGTCAGGCGCACCTTAGTCCTCAAGCTGACATCTTTGCTCTTCAACATTTTAAAAAGGTCTTGTGTGGCAGATTTGCCTAATACAATACACCATTTGATTTCTTGACTGCTGCTTCCATGACTGCTGATAGCTGATCTGAGAAAAATGAAATCTTTGATAATTTCAATCTCTTCCTCCATTGGTAAGAATGGTGTTTTTTGTTCAATAGTGAGGATTTTTTTCTTCTTTACATTGAGATTCAATCCATACTGAAGGCTGTGCTCTTTGATCTTCATCAGTATTTTAAGTCTTCACTTTCAGCAAGCAAAGTTGTATCATCTGCATATCTCAGGTTGTTAATGAGTCTTCCTCCAATCCTGATGCCACGTTTTTCTTCATATAACCCAAGCTCCATATAATCGGCCAAAACAAGGCCAGGGGCAGATTGTGGAACAGACCTTCAATTGCTCATATTCAAATTCACACTGAAGCTGAAGAAAATGAAAACAGGTCCAAGAGAGCCAAAATATGCCCTTGAATATAGCCCACCTAAATTTAGAATGGAAACCCTATAGAGGGTCTCTATGAGTTGGTACAGACTCTATGAAACTTCCTAATAACTGCAACATGTTGCACAAGGGAGCCCTAGTGGTGTGAGTTACACATTGAGCTTTTAACCACAGGGTTACTGTTTAAATCTGCAAACCACTCTGTGGGAGAGAAGACTTTTTGCTCTTGTAGAGATTTACAGCCTCAGAAACCCTATACAAGTAAGTCATTAGGAGTCAGCATCAACTCAATGGCACACAACAACGATAACAAATGTTTACATGTGTGTATGTATACATCTATTTCTACCCTTCGTCTAATAATTTGTTCTCATTTTACATAAAAATGGCTACTTACACAACTTTCTTCACTGACTTAAACAGGGTTTTGACACTGGCAGGAATGACTGGAGCTGAGCACATAAAGGAGCCGGGCTAATGTTGTTGCTAGGTGCCATCGAGTCGGTACCGACCCATAGCGACCTTATGCACAACAGAACGAAAACACTGCCTGATCCTGGGCCAACTTCACTACTGTTGCCACGCTTGAGTCCATGGATGTTGCCACTTGGCCAATCCATCTCATTGGGGGTCTTCCTCTTTTCCTCTGACCCTCCACTTTACCAAACATAATAGCCTTCTCCAGCGACTGGTCCCTCCTGAAAATATGTCCAAAGTATGAGAGACGAAGGTTGGCCATCTTGGCCTCTAAGGAGCACACTGGCTGCACTTCTTCCAACACAGATGTTAGTTCTTTTGGCAGCCCATGGCACTTTCAATATTCTCCTCTAGCACCGTAACTCAAAAGCATCAATTCTTCTATAGTCTTCTTTATTCACTGTCTAGCTTTTGCATGCATGAGGTTATTGAAAACATCATGGCTTGGGTCAAATTCACTTTAGTCTTTAAGCTGATATCTTTGCTCTTCAACACTTTAAAAAAGTCTTTTACAAGCAGATTTGCCTAATGCAATACGTCGTTTGATTTCTTCACTGCTGCTTCCATGACTGTTGATAGTTGATCCAAGAAGAATGAAGTCCTTGACAACTTCAATCTGTTCTCCATTAATAAGAATGTTGTTTATTGGTCCAGTGGTGCGGATTTTTGTTTTCTTTACATTGAGATGCAATCCATATCGAAGGCTGTGCTGTTTGATCTTCATCAGTAAATATTTTAAGTCTTCTTCACTTTCAGCAAGCAAGGTTGTATCATCTGCATATCACAGGTTGTTAATGAGTCTTCCTCCAATCCTGATGCCATGTTTTTCTTCATAAAACCCAGCTTCTCAGATTATTTGCTCAGCATACAGGTTGAATAAGTATGGTGAAAGAATACAACTCTGTCGCATACCTTTCTTAATTTTAAACCATTCAGTGTTCCCATGTTCTGGTCAAACAACTGCCTCTTGGTTCATGGACATATTCCTCATGAGCACAATTAAGTGTTCAGGAATACTCATACTTCACAATGTTGTCCATAGCTTGTCATGATCCACACAATCAAAAGCCTTTGCATAGTCAATAAAGCACAGGTAAACATCTTTCTGATATTCTCTGCTTTCAGCCAACATCCATCGGATATCAGCCATGATATCCCTCATTCCACATCCTCTTCTGAATCCAGCTTGAACCTCTGGAAGTTCTCTGTCAATGTATACTTGCAACCGTTTCTGTATTACCTTGAGTAAAACTTTACTCACATGGGAGATCAAAGAGATTGTCTGATGATTTCCACATTCCGTTGGGTCACCTCTCTGGAATGGGCACAAATATGGATCTCTTCCAATCAGTCGGCCAAATAGTTGTCTTTCAAATTTCTTGGCATAGATTAGTGTGTGACTCCTGTGCCGCCTCACTTTCTTGAAAGATTTCAATTTTTATTCCATCAATTTCTGGTGCCTTGTTCTTTGCCAATTCTTTTAATGTACCTTGGACTTCTTCCTTCAGTATCATTGGCTCTTGATCATATGTTACCTCTTGAAATGACTGAACATCAACCATTTCCTTTTGGTACAGTGACTCTATGTGTTCTATACCATCCTTTCAACCAGTTCCAGGAGAGAGTAAATCCCTGATGTCATAAGTCATGCATGCCATATATTCACTTCTCATTTATGTATCTAGGATGATACTATGTACCATCCTTAGGAAAATAATCCCTCAATAAACTTTCACAGTGCTTAATTGTCTTGCACTATGAACTCTAGTATGCACTATGAGCTCGGGTAGCGTAGTGGTTAAGAATCAGGCTGCGAACCTTAAGGTCAGCAGTTCGAAACTACCAGCCGCTCCGCAGGAGGAAGATGAGGCTTTCTGCTCCCATAAAGATTTACAGCCTTGGTCTGTAAGATTTACAGGGTCGCTATGGGTCAGAACCTACTCGACGGTACTTAACAACAACAATGAACTGTAATCAGAGCCCAGAAAAGTACCAGAGCCTCTTTACTTAAAAAGAGAACAGGGTCAGCAGGTACAGCAGCTGGTGTGACCCCAGAGTCTGGGGTGCCTGGTAGCCCTAGTGGGAAGACTAGCATGAAAGTGGAAGGAGAGGTGCTTTTGTGAGCAGCAATCACCCCAACAGACATAGATTTTTGTTGTTATTGTTAAGTACCATCCATTCGATTCTGATCCATAGTGACCCTATATAGGGTTTCCAAGGAGTAGCTGGTGAGCTTGAACCATCAACCTTGCAGTTCAAAGAACTTTATGGTCTGACATTAGCCCATGCCACACCAGGACTCTTGACAGATTAGGAAGAGAAAAATAAAAGACATTCCTTAGGTGTCAGATTTTGTGAGCCACAACCTTGCATTTCCTGAAAGGATTTTGACATGTAGTATTTAAAAGACTTCTCTGCCCCGCACAGTAGTGGAGAATAAGCTCCTTTCCATTTCTTGTTAGCTCCATCTCTAAAGAGGAAATGACTATTTTTGTCTTCTTTTTACAGATAAGAAGCAGTTAAAATCATTTTCTACTTACTGAATATCTGCTATGTGCTGGATGAACAAAAAGATAAGGTCTAGGGAGGGGGAAGGAGGGGGTTGGCAAATGTACCTGAGGTGCTAGGAAAAAGAGCAAGCAAACATAGGTGGCTCTGTAAGCCTTGTTGGAAAAGAGGTTGGGATTGCACTTCACAAACCTCTCTATTTCCTGTTGCTGGATACTGTTCCATGTACTTTCTTCTACTAGAACAAGCAATTCTTCTGTGGTTGCCTTTTCACCATCAACCAATTTAAATAGTTTTTCAACTATAAGAAAAACGAACAAAATATGGGCAAGAGAAAAGGTCAGGAATGTGCATTTTTGTTTGAATAGTCTGTCTCAGGGCCATTTTAGAAGCCAAAATTAAAGGTTCCAACAAAGTGAGTTAAGTACACTCTGTAGGAGAAAAAGCAATAGAAAGAATAGTTTCTTTCCCAACTGGCCTTAGACATATCCCCCCCCACCACCTCTCCACATAGGAAACTCCCAAAAGAAGAGGTATTGCTGTACCTAGACACTCTCTGATGAGGTGCTCCTGAGCGTCCTCATTTCTACACATGTAGCTCAAAATTCTGTTGGCCACTTTCATATCAACTCTGAGCTTGAGGCTGTCAAGCCCAAGCAATTCTAAGAAACAAACACAGGCAGCTGCTATTGAAGGTATGTGGAAGGAAGAGAGCCCTAAAGCATAGGCTTCATTGCCTACTTGCTGAATCCTGGAAAAAAAAAAAACACAAAGGAATCAATATAATATCTGCAATCTACATAGTTCACTACAGAAACATCAAGTAAACTCAAAAATAGGCAGCATGGAAAGAACTGAAGGATAAAAAAAGTAAAAGACACACCAAAAACAAATAGTGATTTGCCCATATAACTAAGTAGGAATGTAAGGGTAGGACAACATAAGAAATTCAATTAATGTCACACCACATTAATAGAATCAAGGAAAAGAACCACCTGATCTTCTCAATTAATGGAAAAAAGGTCTTTTGACTGAACCCAGCACCCTTTCTGGGATACTCAGATAAGCACACACACACACAAAATGCACTATATAAATATAATCACTGTTAACCATGGTATACATTTCCAGTACTTTCTCAATATCTTATTCAAATATGTGCAAACTACAATTTTTTTTTTATGAGTACAGATTATGTTTTAAATACTCACAGCTGTTTGGGAGTTTTGCTCTTGATTAACTCCTGGACTAGAAAAGTACCAAATGCAAATGATGGTCGTCCATGATGTAAGTAATAAGCAAAATTCAGACATTCCACTATAGCATATTTATTAACCAGGTCAGGTCTAGAGAAATGTGGGAGATCACTTGATGTATCTGATGTGGGGGAGTGAAGCAACATTAATCTTCTGTACCGCACCATAATTAATTTCAGATTTTCACATAGAAAACGTTAATTCTTCAACTATAAAGAAAAATGTGTTGCTATACCCATTTTGTGGGAACACAGTGGCTCCATAAGATAAGCACTGGACTACAAACCACAAGGTCTGAGGTTCAAGCCTGCCAGCCGCTCCATGGGAGACAGATGAGGCTTTCTGCTCCCTGGAAGATTTAAAGCCTCGGAAACCCTATACAGGGTCGCTCTGAGTAGGAATGGACTGAAAGGCACACGGCAGCAGCAGCAGCAGCAACTTTTACAGAAGCAGACCGACATAGCTTTCTTCCATGGAGTGGCTGGTGGGTTCAAACCACCAATCTTTCAGTTAGCCGCAGCCAAGTGCTTTAACCACTGTACTCCCAGGGCTCCCTGAACCTACCAAAATGTAATGATTTTATTTTATCTCAATGTGTAAAAGTAACCATCATTTATACAAAATATACATCTGAGGTGACACATAAAAACTCATAAATTGTGTTTTGTTCCTCCACAGAGTTTACTAAAAATTTCAGATGCTTTATTTCTGTGTCTGATTACCCTTTAGGTTCAGAATAGCAATACCTGATAATTCTTTAGTTACAAACTCTCTGCTAAATGGCTAATGAACTACAAAAGAAGTTTTTCATTCATTCATGCAGCTCATTACAAAATGAAATTCCTTATTAACATAATGAGTCCTCTATTCACCAAGGTCAACTCACTATCCAACAAATAATAATTACCGAGAAATCACATGAGACCATCACTTATTCTATGTTACTATGGTCCTCCTTTGTTACCATTAGTGGCACTGTATGTATGATGTTGTATCATAGAGTGATTTATTACCCACAGGATGGCACTATTTTTCCAAGACCAGCAGGCAGTTTAGTTTAAAGTTCTTTTGTGCCCAAGAGAATATCAGAAAATATTTATTTTCTTTTTGGAGAAATACAAAATCAGAACTATTTGATGTGAATAATCAGAATGAAATGATTATGTCAAACCCTAATCTTTAGCTACCTCTTAACCACTTACTACCCTATGAGGGGAAAATGTGATAAAATATCTAAACTGTTAATACTGCATCTGCTCTTATTCTAAAAGTTTACTTCTGAACTAAAGCTTTATGTTTCCATAGAATTCCAAGGGATTTTCACATTATGACTTTCTTTAAAAAGACGTGAAGACCCCAAGTGTATGTCACTTTACAAAGCTATTATAAAGCACATCTCCTACATTATAAAATAATCACATGCACTATCTGTATTCTTTGTGAGATTACAGTGACTTTGGAAACAATTATATATAGAACCATTTTTTTTTTATTAGTACCTGCTGAGGCCAGATGCTGAACCAGTAAAGCAGAGGTTTTTATTCAAATAGGACAGATTTTCTGTGTTGGTTTTTTTTTTGGCAGGCTGGGGCCTCGTATGGTAAATGTGCATGAGAGAATTACACCTCAAGAGAAATTTTACTCTGGTCTGTGCAGAGGCAAAGTCACTAATGCAGTATTTACATCCCCTTTCAAGTGGAAATGTCAGATGAGAAAAGAGGTAAGCATTCTAATTAAATACAACTCTCTCCAATTTTATAAATCTGTATTACAGTTTCATGATAGTAATTTCATTCACTTCATACTGTTTCCCCTTAAATATATTCTAAACATCTAGAAACCAGACAGGAGACATACCTCCAACTGTTGTTTCACTGCTATACCCAAGAAGTGGTCACAATGCTAGCTAAGGGGTGGAGTTTGGGTCATTAGAACAAGGCAGGGGATACTGTGGACTCTCTAGTAACTTCACTGAGATTAGAAAGAGTATCTGCATTTGAAAATGCAGTTAAGTACTACTTTATTCATCACTCACTCACCAAAAGTTTACTCAACAGTTATTATTGGCTTGACACTTCATTGTTCTGGGCGGGCACTAGGTAAATTCAATATATCAAAATTGGAATGTACGAAAATGATACATTAGGAAATTCATTTTTATGTGTGTCAATAAATATTCATAGAGTGCACACTATGAACAAAGTGTTAACACATTTGGAGTCTCAAATTTATAGCAATATAGGTAGAGGCACCTTTGGCAACAGCATATTAAAGGCCAACCCTACATGTAAATATAAAAGAGAAATAGAAAAAGCAGAGTTTAACAATGGCACAAACCCAGAGAATTCTTATGGTTCACAGAAGACAGCAAAGTGTCTGCATCTAGTGCTTCCTATGTACTAGGGACTGCGAGAGCTTTCTAAACACCTCCTTTCCTTCCATTTTCCCAGTCCCCTGTGAGGTGGGCACTGTGACTAACCTGAATTTACAGGGAATAAATCACTTGCCCTAGGTCGTACTGCTATTACATGGTAGAGCCAGGACTGGTCTAATGCCATCCATCGCTCATGTTCTAAACCTTTATTACAAGGAAACCAAAAAGGATTACTGGGAGGGGAAATAAAAGCAGATAGGTACACATCACATTTCCCAGCAAAGACAACACTAATGCTATACTATAATGATTAAGTCACAATATGTTTTCAACTGTCTTCTGGAAAATGTTTTCCATTAGAATGTACCTTTATTTTTTAAATGGAAAGTGGTGAAAAACGGGACTCACTTTATATAACTTCTACTGTCACACACTGCTGCAATGCTTCTGAAACAAGAAATACCTCTTAATGCCTTACCTCCTACAGCTAGGATGTTGGTAGACTGCCAGCCAAACAATCGGCTGGGATCAAAGGGCATTAATGACTGAAAAAGAGGGAAAATAGAGTTAAAAGTCAGCTGGTTCTAAAGTAAGTAAACAAAATTTTATGAAAGGACTCTAGAGGTAGTCTGCTTCCCTGCTTAAATTTCTTGAACAGCTAAAAAAAAGAAACATAGGAGATACCTTTCTGTATTCACTTGGCTTTGTTCCTTTTAAAGGCTCTCCTTACTTAATTCTGTATCTGCAAAGTCTACTTTGTTTTGGTTGAAGCAGCACCAATTATAATATACAATGGGCTTTAGAAATGGCGTTAGAATCAAAAGGCAAGAGGATTAAGCGGCTCTTAATTTCTGTCACATTCTTAAAGGGGTCGTTGCCCTGAACAAACGTTAAGAAGCACTGACTGAACCCAACAGCCCCGATTCATGAAGAAGAGATGGAAGCTATAAATGCTGCAGTGCAGTAGCCTTTGAAGCGGTGGATAGGAGTGTTACTCTCAGATCCATTTCCTACCCTCCCTTTGCTCTGCTCTGTATCAGAGGAAAGCACATTTCACAAGCTCCCTTACCCACTGGCTATCTGGTAGGTTTAGCCATAAAAGACACCTGGGAGATTAAAGGTAGGAGCCGAGATCATTTTTCTCCTCTCTCTTTGTTTTCTGGGACATCTCCTGCAAGGTTCTCTATGTTCTTAGCTCCCATTAGGCAGCCCTGTAGAGAGTTCAGCTCCCAGAACATGCCTCCAGCTTTTGGGTTCTGATAATATCACTTTTTTGCACTGTGTTTCCAGCTTTAGGGATGTTGATGACTTTCTTTTTTGCTAATCTTTGGGTTGTCTCACCACTGCATGCTTGGTTTCTCCATTCTTGTATCACTATCTGGAAATAATGAAATTCAATCCACTTGAAAGATCTAAAGTGGTTTCTGTTTTTCAGACTAAAACTTGATTGATACACTGACCACCTAAATTCTGTACCTGAATAAGCTGGTAAAGTGTAATATCGTGTGGAAGGATATTAAAGGTAGTATACTGTGGGAAGAGCGCGGTTTTTAACTTGGGGTAAGGAGTTAATGCCATCTTCAGTAGCTGGGGATCCACTTTCTTCAAACAGTTCTCATTTTCTTCATTCTGAACAACCTATGTAAAGAGACAGCAGAGACCAAACAAGATAATCAGGTTGTCAAAAACACAAAGAAATGCACACAATCATTGCACATTGTTGTTAGGTGCCATCGAGTCAGTACTGACTCAAAGCAACATTATGCACAGCAGAATGAAACACTGCCCGATCCTGGGCCAACCTCACTACTGTTGCCACACTTGAGCCCACTGATGCTGCCACTTTGCCAATCCATCTTGCTGGGGTCTTCCTCTTTTTTCTCTGACCCTCCACCCTAGCAAACATTGTTGTTGTTGTTAAGTGCCGTTGAGATGATTCCGACCCATACCGACCCTGTATAGGGTTTCCAAGGAGCAGCTGGTGAGCTTGAATCACTGACTTTGCAGTTCAAATGACTTTGCAGTCTGATGCATTAGCACACAGCGCCACACCAGAGATGCAAATCAGAACAACAATGAAATACAATCTTATTCCAGCATTAATAGCAAAGTTCCAAAAAACAGAAAACAACAAATACTGGCAAAGGTGTGGAGAGACTGGGACCCTCCTACATTGCTGGTGGGACTGTAAAACGGAAACACCACTGTGGGAAACAGTATGGCACGTTCTCAAAAAGTTGGAAATAGAAATAGAGCCACGTATCTACAAGAACTAAAATCTGTGCCATGACTAGATATATGTACACTCATGTTTAGTGTAGGACTATTCACAACAGAAAAAAAGATGGAGACAGCCTAAATGCCCATTAACAAAAGAATGGTTAAACAAACTTTAATACACACACACAATGGAATATTACACAACACTGAAGAATCTGCAAAGCACCTTACAACATGGATGAACCTGGAGGACATTATGCTGAGTGAAATGAGTCAATCACCAAAGGACAAATATTTTATGAGACCACTGCTGTAAAAAACAGTTAAGAAAAAATTTTCTTGCTAAATGAAATGAAGCATTCTATGATGGCTACAGTGCGGGAGGAGGGGGAAAATAAAGTGACTGGAGGTAAATGACGGGACATGGAGATGATTGTAATCACTGTAATGACACGAAGTACATAATTTGTACAATGTGGGACTAATGATTTGTTCTGTAAATCTTCACTCAATTCACAATAAAAAGTTAAAAAAAAAAAAGAGAGAGCAAAGTTTAGGGTAATACTTTTCCCTACTCAAAATTTTGGTCATTTTTCACAAAACTCCATGAAACAAGGCTAACTTGGAGATAGTTTGCAATAGCGAATAGCATTGGATAGGAAGTAAAAAACCAAGAGTTCTAGTCCTGGTTCTAAAACAAAGTAGCTATGTACTTTAAGGCTAAATAGTTAATATCAGGCCTCAGTTTCCTTACCTACAAAATGAGAAAGTGGAGCTAGAACAGTGGAGAGACTGTTTGAAAGGGTTCTGCTACTCTAATGTTTGACAACTATTCTGGGTTGAGATGATGGTGCAGGACCGGCAGTGTTTCCTTCTACTGTACATAGGGTTGTTAAGCCACAACCAACTCTCAATGGCACAATAAACAACAGGTCCTTCTAAGTTATTCTACGACTCTAATTTTTAACAAGTGATTAAGAACAGATAAATAAATAACTTCATCATATAATTTAAGGCATGCTGGAACCATCTAAAAGAGGTGTTACGAAATTAAGCAAACAACTAGAGACTCTTAAAGATAAAATAGATGTTTAACAGCATTCTTAAGCTTCCTCTAAGCAGGCATACTATTTTTAAAAAGCAAAGGTGAGAAAATGTCCTCTGTGTTCCTCAAAAGACTTTATACTGGCAGGCCAAGATAATAATTTCCTTTGCATCTAAAAGGGCAAGCTGTTGTTGTTAAGTGCTGTTGAGATGGTTTCAACTCATAGAGATCCTGTATAAGGTCCCCAGGAGCAGCAGGTGGGTTTGAACTACCAACCTTGTACTTAGCAGTTGTTGTTAAGCAACGTCGAGTCAGTACTGACTCATAGCAATCCTGTATAGGGTTTCCAAGAAGTGGCTGTGGAGTTTGAATCGCCAACTTTGCAGTTCAAACTGACCTTGAAGTCAAGTGCTTATCCTGCGGTGCCAAACCAAGACTCCTTCCTTGTAGTTAGCAGTGGTAGTGGTGTGCTGTGGAGTCATTTCTGACTCATAATGACTCTGTCTAGGGTTTCCAAGCTTGTAAATCTTTACGGGAGCAGAAAGCCTCATTTTTTTCCCACGGAACAGCTGGTAATTTCAAACTGCTGATGGTGAGATTAGCAGCCTGACTTGTAACTACTACGCTACCAGAGCTCCTTTAGGTAGTTAGTAGCAATAGAGAATAATTCCCAGCTCACAAACCTAAAGTATATTTTACTTTAAGAAGCAATCAGATTCTACTCTAAAACCAAACCTAGATGATTAAAAAACAAATTAACGGGGGTGGGGTGGGGTGAGGGAAGAATCGCTGTATAACATTTTAGTTCCCTTATAACTTAGAGGACAGATTTCACAACTTCATGGATATGCAAACAACTTAAAAAATTCACCCATTTTTTTATGTGCTTTAACCTAATGAAATACTTGAAAGTTGTTACGTTTTAATATGAACTGAGATCTGTATGTTCATAGATACATCTTCTAAATTTAAAGTCAGTTCTATTCAGCCATAATAGGTAAAAGCGAGGCCCATACCTGGCTTACACCCCCGGGAGCATACATTGTAGTAGCCAGAGCCAGGAGGGTGTGTCCTTCCAACAGCATGCTGCTTACACTGGCCTGATTGCTAGGGATCAGTATCTGAGCATTTGCAAGGCTAGCCTGGAAGATCAGCTTGGGATCTGGAAAATAAGAGAATATGTTTGTCTCCTTAATAGGAATAAAATTAAGAATGATATAATTCTGAGAAACAAAATTAACTTTTAACTCTATCCAAAGTAAGAAGGACTTTCTAAATTTCAATACATTGGTTAAGAATGAAAAAATTTGTCTACATAAAAACAAAAAACTTTTATTCCAGCAAAGAAAATAGAACAGTTCCGACTCACAGCAACCCTGTATAAGGTTTCCAAGGTGGGTATGAACTGCCAGCCTTGCGGTCAGCAGTCCAGTGCTTAGCCTACAATGCCAGAAAATCCTGTGAGGCAGTTCTGCTCTGTCCTATAAGGTTGCTATGAGTTGGAATCAACTTGATGGCACACAACAACAGCAATAATAAATGCAAATTAAAATAGTAATTAAATGCCATATATCACCTATACCAAATAATCATTCTACAAACACTGTGGATTTTTTTCACTACACCTGAAGCTCCTTACAAAAAACTCAGAGCTGGCACCCTGAAGACATGCTATGTCTTCATGAAGTGTCAATCTACCAGAGAGCAAGAATTCAACTGTGATAAACTAGTGGGACAGGAGACACCCAAAGACTTTGAACAGAGTGTGAGACTGAGGAGAGGGAGGGGGCATAACCACACAGGGTCTCTACTCCATGTCTCCCTATTCTTGGCTGGGAAGAGACTAACAAATTCAGGTCTTCTGAACAAAATCACTCTGCTTCTGTAATAATGTGAGCCTAGATTATAATTAGATTATTTGGTTAAAGCCAAATATCAAATTTATTTACAGAGTTCACACGTTACATTACCATTCAACAGAGCATTTACTGACCTACAGAAAGCACATGTGTACATCCATACCTGTTAAGTTACTGGAAACTTGTCGGCACTGAACTAAAAATTCAAACCAGGGATGAGCTTCATGCAACTCTTTTTTTTCCAAAAAGGGACAATTTGGAGGACTAAGTCTGCATACAAAACAAAAATATGCAGAATAAGACAGTTATAATCAGATTTTTTTTTTTTTTTTTTTGGTGATAACTAGCAAAATGGAGCCTTGGAATTAAAAAGCACATATAATACAAAATATTCCCACTCTTGTTTTATATTTGACACATTTCTTGTGATCTGGAAATGAGTAAAAATTAAGAGACAGAGATAACATTACTTAAAATGTAAGATTTAAATATTTAAAGCCTAGGAAACCCTATACAGGAGTGCTGTGAGTCAAACTGACTTGATAGTACTTAACAACAAAAATGTACTTACTCCCAAGAAACCTAATCTTCTAAAACCATAGTGAAATTTTATCAACTTTGTAGAAGATTAATGGATATCTCAAAGATACTTCATATTTTACTAGTTTTTACAAGAACTTTATAGCATTTACAAATAAGAGGTTTTAAAAAACCTTTTAAACTATAGTCAGGCTAGGACTGAGGTATTAATATTCAAAATAGATTCTCTGAAAATATGGCTTTTAAATTTGTTCTCTTATCAGTAACTTTGGGGAAAGCATTTTGTGTCTAAGTAAGGCTCAATGATATGAACAAGAAATATAGCCTTTGTTCCAACTCCTAGTCTTTACTACAAAAAAGCAAACTGAAAATGTCCTTTATTAGTGGGTGAATGTGGGCTCTGGAATCAAACAGAAGAATTAGATCTGGCTCTGATACTCAGCAGCTATGTGCTTTAGGCAGATTCTGTATTTTTCAATTTGTCTACTCAATAGTATTTATGTAAAATCCCCAAATCAATACTTGTGGTGCTGTCACGGTCATTTAGTGGCCATGTGAAGAGAAGTGAAAAATTTGAGTCACCTGACACATGTTTCCAGTTTTGATTCAACATGGTGAAATTATGCCTTGTTTCAGCTCTCATATTATAAACAAGTATTCTTTTCACAGTCTGTGTTGTGCCAGACTTTTTGCATTTTTGTGCTGTTAGTGACCTCACAGTTTAAAATGGCCCCCGAGCGTAGTAGTGAAGTACTGTTTAGTGTTTGTAAGTGCAAGAAGGCTGTGAAGTGCCTTATGGAGAAAATGTGTGTGTTAGATATGCTTCACTCAGGTATGAGGTAGAGTGTGACTGTGAGTTCAAAGAAGCAAGTCCACAACATATAGCAAATGAAGTGTCTTTAAACAGAAAGACACATTAAACCTAGTTACGTATTGGTCAGATAATAAAAATGGGACCAGAAGATCGCAGGAACGGAACACTATTTCTCCAGCAAGCAATGGTTCAGTACTTGGTAATTTCATATTCATGGTGACTTTACAGAACTTAACTACTGTAAATAATATGAATCAACTAAACTTAGTCTACTAGAAGCCTTAGGGTGCTCAACTGTGAAACTGAGATGGAAGTAACCCACCATAGGACTTTCGAAGATTAAATGTGAAACATTTAGACCAGTGCCAGGAACACTGTAAGCACTTATATATTGTTGTTATTGCCTTTGTATGTCATTGAGTTGGTTCTAACTCACAGTAACCCTGTATAGACTTTCCAAGGAGTGACTAGTGAGTTTGAACCACCAACTTTGTGATTCAAACTGACCTTGTGATCTAGTGCATTACCCAACAGCATCACACCAGGCCTCATATATGAGACCACTATTACGATTTTATTATTACTGACCCATACTGACCCAATAGCAATTATACTAGCATCACATAGAATTCTAAAGGATGATTATTAGGTAGATGATGCTGTTGTGACGATCTTGTATAGGATTTCTGAGAAGCAGCTGATGGGTCTGACATGCTGACCTTTCGGTTAGCAGCTGAATGCTTATCCTACAGTGCCACACATACACCAGGATTCCAGATGAGAATGTTTATAGGTATAAATATTTTAAAAACTTTTTATTGTGAATTGAATGAAGGTCTTCAGAGAAGATAATCAGTTTTATATCTAACAAATCATACACTTTGTTTAATCTCAATGAGTTCAAGTCCCTCCTTGTAACAACAGTTATCCCATTTCCTCCCTGTGGTTACTCTTTCCATTCCACTCTCCTTCCCAAACCCTCTGAATTTGGTTCTCAAGTAAATGTTGGCCTTTTGATCTTGAACAGCTGAGCACTCCATGATGACGATACCTCACTAGTGTTGCTGTACCCCCTACATACCTATCCACCATTTGGGTTGAGAAGTGGGCCATGAAGGCCAAGGGCCATAGTCTAAGGTTTCCCCAGGCTCTTTCTGACCAGTATGCCTGATCTTTTTTATATATCTATATACAGTTTGTAGTGACTTTTAACATTCTCCTGATAATGAAAGTATCAAAGGACTCCAATTTTAGAATTTTGCTCTTTTAAACTATCAAGGCACTTCTATTTAAAAGGTTAACATAGATGTTACAGAAATAACATAACCTGAAAACCATACAATAAGCATTTAGTTGAATGTAGCTTTGAAATAAAAGATGTACTAAGTGTGGGGGCAGGGGAGACTACTTGAACATTTTCAGTATTCTTCATGTGGATGCTTACTATTTTCCTAAAAGTTCCACTCAGATGTAGAATGTAAAGAAGAAACATAGAAACTTGCTCAAGGATAATTAAACTCTCAGTACTCACTTGTAAAAGTCGAGGTAGACATAAAGAAGATGCTGTAGACTGTGTTCCAAACAATAAACAATGAAGTGAGAATGGAAATCCCAACCTTCCTTGGTCCTGTAGTTTTGAACAGGGAGGGTATCTTGAATCACACCCCCAATACGGCTCAGCCTAAGGAGGAAAAGTTCAAAGTCTTCCAACTCAGATGCAAGGAAAATTCCACTCCTATTGGAAAAGTTTTAGGAATGGCAGGTTAAAAAGTTGCTAGGTTCAGAGCAAATCAAATCACTTTCACTGCATACATTTCAACTACTAAAGTATTTAGAAATTATGGATTCTAATTCTTATTATAGTGCTATGTTCTGAGGCACAAATTTTGCTAGTTTTCAATAAAGATCTCTGAACCTTTAGAGTATTTAAAGGTAGTAAATGAGAGTCTTAAGCTAGCTTCAAGATTTCAAAGCCCTTAATCTAAATTTCTTTGTTTTTGACAGGAATTGTACAACTCAGTAGTTATTAAAGCTAGATGCTCTGAATATTGAGAAACTCACAAAATAATGAAACAAAATAATTAAATTTAAATAAAGCAACTTAAAAATAGATGATTATTGTATAAGGATGGTACAGAACTGGACAATGTTTTGTTCTGTTGTGCACATGGGCCACCTGACAATAGAAACTAACAGAAATTTACATTTAATTAATACATTGCCAACAAATTGATTTCTTTTCACTGATAACTGCCACCCAGATTTAAAACATAGAATATTATACCCCTTTGTGTATCCCTTGAAAAGTCCTGGTGGTACAGTGGCTAAAGTGGTTGGCTACTAAGTGAAAGGTTCAAACCCACTAGTTGCAATGAGGGAGAAAATCCAGAAAGATTTATAGCCTTGGAATCCCTGTGGGGCAACTCTATTCTGTCCTGTAAAGTCTCTAAGAATTGGAATCTATTGGACCACAGTGGGTGTGACTTTTTGGTGTACCCCTCATCCACTTAATGTTCTTCACTTGCCCTAGAAGTAAACAGATTTTGTGGTAATCATTTCCCTACTGTTACTCAGTTATATCATCCATGTATGTAACCCCAAACAATATATGGTTTGGTTTTGCCTACTCTGAACTTTAATTATAAAGGTATTATTCTGGATATATTGGTTTTTGCCTTGTTTCTTCTGCTCAACATTGTGCATTGTGCTGTTTATCTATGTTGACACCTGTGGCTACAGGGTGTTCATTGTCACTGTTAGTTAGGGTTCCATTGTATGCTAAACTACACTTTCATTTATCTACTCTCTTTTGGTTGTTCCATTTTTGTTGTTTTTCAGTAAAAGACATTTGCATCTCAATGATTACTAAGGAGGCAGAACATATTTTTATATGTTCATTGGTCATCTTGTCTGTTCTATGAAATGCCTATTTGTGCTAAATCTTTGCCCTCCAGATCCACACTCTATTCTTCAGCACCCTGATCTGTCCCTGGAAGTTCACCAGCATGGGCTACACCATGAGACTCCAGTGCACTCAGGTTCCTGTTTAGCATCAGAGAAAAGGGAGAATGGGGTGTGTCTCCTGGCTTTCGCTTTGCTGATTACCTCAGGTTGGCTGATAAACTCCACATATGGTCCTAACTCTCTCCTCGTTTCTATAACTGTTACCTCCCTTTGTTCCTTCAGGCTTGTTTAAGAAAGTGTGTACTGTGTCCTACTCCCGTGGTCACAAAGAGAGCCTCCCATAACATCCTCCAAAAGCTTTCTAAGTTTTACAATCTACAGTTAGGTTTTCAAATCTACCTGGAATTCATTTTATGCATGATATAAGGTTGTTGTTATTGTTGTTAGGTGCCGTTGAGTCAGTACCGACTCATAGAGACCCTATGCACAAAAGAATGAAACACTGCCCAGTCCTGGGCCAACCTCACAATCGTTGCTACGCTTGAGTCCATTGATGCTGCCACTTTGCCAATCCATCTCGCTGGAGGTCTTCCTCTTTTTCTCTGACTCTCCAATTTACCAACATG